GCGGTCCACCTGGGTGGGTTTGGCCCCCCATCCCATGAATTTGGTGCTCAGAGGTAGACTGCTCCTGCAGCTGGAGGCTTCACTGCTAGTCCCCCCCCCATTAGGTCTTTCCAGCCGGGTGCTTGTGCTCTGGTGCCTTGGGGGGGCGCCCCACGTGGGCGAATCAGCCCACCCGGGGTGGGGGGGGGTCAAGCACACACACACACACACACACACACACACACCCCTTCTCCAGTGGGTGATGGCACCGACTCCGAGGGGGGGGGCGATGCTTTCTGCAAACTTCAGGGTGGGACGGCTGCCCAGGGTGCGATTTCCTAGCCTGGAGCTGGAATCGAACACAGGACCCGGAAACTTCTGGTCTGCAGTCGCCCCGAGGGGGGGGGGAGTCTGCTTGCTCTTCAGGGATGATGTGGGATGATGCTCTGGATGAGATCTATTCTTACCTCTTTTTCAGGGGGACCTCCGAAAGACGGACTGGCGCAAGTGGAAGCAAGAAAGTAAGCATGGTCTCGGGGGTGCCTGGCTGTATACGGTATCAACCCGGTCTCCGTGGGGGTTCGGTTCAAACAAAAACACACACAAACACCCCCAAAAACAAAAAAAACACAGACGTAGGAAGCCCTACACATTCCATATCCTCTTGAGTTCTTTTATGATTTAATATTGTCAGGCAGCGGATAAGGGGATCAGCGGATACTGATTTCCGCGGATAGGGGGAAATTCATTGGGAAAGCAGGACATCCAGAGTACCAGAATTGGGCAGAAGCTGAGCACCCAATAAAGAGTCTTTGGGTTTTTTGTGGATGTGTTTGGGGGGAGGCAAATGCCCCGCATGTGTGTAACAATACTTCCACACCCCAGCAGTTTGCGTTCTCTGCTTCTGAAGTATTCTTTTGAAAGCCGGTAGTAAAGGCTGAAGAGACCCTTTGCTATTAGGTTTGATTTTAACCGTCGTGTCCTCATCTCAGCCCCTGTTTTCTGCACTTTTTTTTAAATTTTATTTTTGGTTCCAGAAAAAGAAGAGAAGAAAAAATGGAAGGAATTGAAGCTGTTGAGAAAACTAGAGAAGAAGAGGATGCAGGAGGTTGTGGAAAAGCAGAAAGAAGAGGCAAAACCGAAGGAAAACAAAGGTACGGGGGACTAAACTGTGTCTGTAAATTAATTTTCATTAAAATGTACGGTAGAACCCCCTATCCGTGGGATCAGCAAATAGTGGTCCCGTGGATATGGAGGTCCTTCTATACGGTAGGACTACCATGACTAATTTCTTTTTTCAAGTCATATTCTAGACTCTTTGGTCAGTGACCGTTGTTGTTGTTGTTGTTGTTGTTGTTGTTGTTGTTGTTGTTGTTGTTATGGGATGATTATTCTTATTCTTATTCTTATTATTCTTATTATTGAGCTCTGTTCAGTAGATTACCTAGGGACTTGGCAAGACTGATTCTTTCAATTTTCAATTCCTAAAAATCGTGTATTTTTCAACGGCCGCGTCAGCTCCAAAGCCAACGGAAGTCAATTCAACCTCCACCCTCGTTGCATTTTGTATATTTAACCACATAATATGTTTTATGAACTGATTGTACATTTTAAAACTCCATTTTGTACATTTTAGCCACATAATATGTTTTATGAATTGGGTCATCTATTTCTAAACTGCATGTTGCATATTTTAGCCATAAATATGTTTTTATGAGCTGGTCACGTGACCGGAATAAATAAATACAACCTCCACCATCACAATCAAGCCTTGTTCGGTAGAACTCCGACCTCCTTTAGTTTTTCACCCCTTGGTTTTCCAGGCCGTCCTTACACGATCAGCGTGGCCCTCCCGGGTTCGATCCTGAGCAACGCCCAGTCGCCGGAGTTGCGCACGTACCTCGCCGGGCAGATCGCCCGGGCCTGCGTCATTTTCTGCGTGGACGAGATCGTGGTGTTCGATGAAGAAGGAGAAGATTCAAAGTGAGGATAAAAAAATATCTCCGTGGTTTGCGCGCAGCCGGTGGTCTACGGCGGTGGTCCCCAACCTTGGGCCTCCAGATGTTCTTGGACTTCAACTCCCAAAAATCCTGGCCAGCAGAGGTGGTGGTGAAGGCTTCTGGGAGTTGTAGTCCAAGAACATCTGGAGGCCGAAGGTTGGGGACCACTGGTCTACGGGGTGCGCTCAATCCCACCCTTTCTTCTCTCTCTGCAGGACGGTGGAAGGGGAATTCGAGGGCCTCAAGACAAGGGGCCAAGCTTGCGTCCAGTTGGCCCGGATCCTGCAGTATTTGGAGTGTCCCCAGTAAGACACCCCCCCCGAGGAAAACTCTGGAAACCCATGAACACCCCTCCTGTTTCCTGACTTGGCGGCGTTTCTCGACGGAGCCATCACGTCTTCTAAGTAACCTCTCTTGAACCCAGGCCCATCAAATATTGTTGGGAACCAATTCCAGTTAGGGTCTTGGGAGTTTGAATCTATATAAGGAACCATGGTTTTCCTGCTTCCAAATGTCTCATCCACCTTATTGGATCTTCCCAGGCCATATTCTAAGTGTCAGATAATACCAAACACTATACATAGCATAGTGAATTTTTTAAAAATCCAGAAAAAAAAGTATTTTCACATGTATTACCAGAACTGGCCACTGGAGGGAGCCAGAGACAATGCTATGTATCTTTCAACAAGAATACAGTACATAGCATATTCTCTGGTACCCTCTAGTGGCCAGTTCTAGTAAATACATCCTGAAAATACTTATTTTTAGGAGTTTTCTTTGAACGTTTTAAATATTTTCAAATAAGTGAAACTGCAGATCGTGATCCTGCAGATATGGGGGGTGGTGGTGGTCCTATTGAAAATAAAAATGTAGCCACTTCTACTTTTTTTCAACAGCTTTCTTCCTTTTTCTCAAACAGATACCTACGGAAGTCATTTTTCCCCAAACATCAAGATCTCCAGTTTGCAGGTAAGGCCGTTTGGGCCAGTTTGGTCCTCCAAAGTTTTCCTGCCCCCACAGATCTGCCGCCTGAGGCATATCTCCCTCGCTCGGCTCCATGGGGCTCTTCGCAAACTCCGCGGACTTCTGCAATGGGGGTCCCAGGGAGGGCCCCGTGTGTGGGCTTTGCGATGGCTTCCGAGCATTCGCCTCTGAAATCTCTCTCCGGTTTGCCCGCGGTGTCGTTTCAGGGCTGTTGAACCCCTTGGATAGCCCTCATCACGTGAGGATCGACGAGGAATCGAAATACCGAGAAGGTGTGGTTTTGGCCCGGCCCACCAAGCCCGGCCGGGGATCCTTCGTGAACTGTGGAATGAGGAAGGTAAAAAAAAATGTGTTGCGTCACGTCCCTGTAGGATACCCCGTTTCAAAAGGTTGTCCTACGGAGGAGAGTCAGTATCGGTTCCCCGTGGTCCCAGAGGGCAGGCCACCCAACGATGGATGGGCTCAAGAGGAATATGAGGGAGGAAAAAACTTCTTAACTGTTAGAGCTGTACGACAACAACAGAACCCACAACCTCGGGAGGCGACGGTGAGCGCTCCAGCGCTTGGAGGCCTTTGAGAGGAAATTGCGGACCACCCTCTGCTTGGATCGGGACCCCTGCCTTGAGTAGGGGGGTGGACGTGACGGCCTTCGAGGCCCCCTTCCCACTCCCGTCGTCCTGCGGTTCCCAAGCTTGGCCATCGACCTGACCGATGGGGTCTCGTTTTTTTCCTCGTAGGAGGTTCAGATCGATAAACGATTGGAGCCCGGCCTTCGGGTCACGGTGGAGCTAGACGAAGAACAGCATCTGGGTAACGTAACGGATTCTGCACTTGGACCCAATTCGTGAGACACGGGGTGGGCTGGATCCAGCCTGCAAAGGATCTGGACCCCCCCCCTCCTGTTTACCCCACCAATTGGGACAAAGGCTGGGGTGGGAGAGAATTCATCACCGTGACCTCTGACGTGATGCTCTCTTTTAGACAGCAAAACCCAGAAGGGCACGGTAGTATCCTCCCATCATCCTCGCACCGTCTCCGGCCTTTACTGGGGCTACACCGTCCGGTTAGCGTCTTGTCTGAGTAAGTAGGGACCCCCGTTCAATGGGCTTCCCCGTGTTCCAGCCTTCCCACATGTGGCCGGTACTACGACACCTATCCTCCTGGATAAACAGTGTGACGGATTAATGGGAGTCGTAGTCCGGCCACCTTTGGAGGGCTGCAGTATCGCTAAACCCCGGTGGTTGTATGGATAGTTCTTGAGCTTTTGGGGGAAAGCAACAGGTGGAGAAGCGTTGGGACGGTGTCAGTCTCTCTCTCACACACACACGCACCCTGTCGTACTCAGGTGCTGTGTTTGCTGAATCCCCCTTTAAGGACGGTTACGACCTCTCCATTGGGACGTCTGAGCGAGGGGCCTCGGTGGATCAGGCCACCCTCCCTCCTTTCAGGTAAGGACATAAAGGGAATAGGGCTCTTCCAGAAGCCTTACGGCTTCTTTGCACCCCAAAAAACTTTATTTGGGGGGTTTTGCACCCTGTTTATTTGGGGGGTTTGCATCTGATATACCTGTTTGTTTGCTTCCCCCCCCCCCAGACATGCTTTGATTGTTTTTGGCGGCTTGCAAGGCCTGGAGGCGGGCGTGGAGGGTGACCCGAACTTGGAGGTCACGGACCCGAGCACCTTGTTCGACGCGTACCTCAACACCTGCCCGGGGCAAGGCAGTCGCACCATCCGGACCGAGGTAAGCTTCGAAGCAGTGCTGGCCAACCGGGACAGATCCGCACATTGGTAGCAGCGCAACGCTCAGGATCTGGGCATGTTGACTCAGGAGTAAAGCTCCGGCGCCACAGCCTCCCGGACTGCAAAGCGCAGCCCCATTCCGGGCAAAGCACGGCTTGGGGTTTATGTGCGCGCGCGCCCGAGGTGGAAAATTAAAACTTGACTCTTTCGGGTTCTTTTCCAGGAAGCGATCCTCATCTCTCTGTCGGCGCTGAGGCCTCGGATCGACGAGGCCGTGAAGACCGGCGAGGGCAGCCGCGTGGAGAGCGAAAGCGCTTCGTAAAACGCAGGAAGAGTTAGGGGTGGCGGGCGGACGTCCCATGGACCGGATCGTGCTGGGGGGGCATGTCCCACTCCCTCTTGCTTCTCTTTACAGGGAAGTAAAACCAGGACAGATCATCCCTATTCCTTTTGGGGGGAGCAGAGCCTTCGGAAGGGGTATCCCCCCCAAAAAAAACCCTTCTAGAACCCAGCGTGCCAGGCCTGTTGATCTCCCGCCTGCCACGGAGGGAGGGGGACACTGCTCGACGCCTCTCGGGGAGTTTGCAGTGGCCTGCCCACCCCCTGCGCTGTTCAATGGAGTGGGGGGGGGAGCGTCTTTGGATCAAAGAACACCAAAACCCTGAAAATACTCAATAAAATTATTTTATAAGAACCCCTGGAGTTGTAGAACGGATGCATGCCGTTTTGAAAAAAGTCTCTCGTCCTTTATTTACCGACACGTTTCCCCCCGAATCAGCTGTGTGGTGCATCGGAAAACGGAGAGGGAATCTGTTTATAGGCCTGCCCACCCCCCGCACTGTTCCATGGAGTGGGGGGGGGGAGCGTCTTTGGATCAAAGAGCAGCAAAGGCCTGAAAATACTCAATTAAATAATTTTATAAGAACTCCTGGAGTTGTAGAACGGATGCACGCTGTTTTGAAAAAAGTCTCTCGTGCTTTATTTACCGACACATTCCACACACACACACCCGAATCAGCTGTGTGGTGCCCCCCCGCACTGTTCCATGGAGTGGGGGGGGGGAGCGTCTTTGGATCAAAGAGCAGCAAAGGCCTGAAAATACTCAATTAAATAATTTTATAAGAACTCCTGGAGTTGTAGAACGGATGCACGCTGTTTTGAAAAAAGTCTCTCGTGCTTTATTTACCGACACATTCCACACACACACACCCGAATCAGCTGTGTGGTGCATTGGAAAATGGAGAGGGAATCTGTTTACAGCGTAGACTCTTCCAGCCTCTTCTCTCAATCCCCCCCCCAGCCCGAGGCTTCCCGAGGACAAAGGGGAGCCTTGGAACCTGAAAACGGGGTGGGAGCCGAAAGCTTCCGCTTCATCCCCCCCCCCCCAGCCCGAGGCTCCCCGAGGCCAAAGGGGAGCCTTGGAACCTGAAAACAGGGGGCGGGAGCCGAAAGCTTCCGCTTCGTTGCAAATGAAGGAGGATCCGGGCCATCGCCTGGCTCTGCCGGGGGCGGGGGTGTCTCGAGGGAGGCGTCTCTTAGCTCTGCTTCCCGGCCGTGATGGCCTTTAAGTGGCTCGTCCTTTTGAGGATGTTGGGGACGAAAAGGAGCCCGGACGCTCGCTCGATGCTCTCGACGGGGACCAAGAAACGCTCCAGCGGGATCTTCTCGTCCACGGGGCTGTTGGGCATGACGTAGGAGCGCAGCTCGATCTCGCCCCCGGGCTTCTCCAAGATCAAGACTTTGAAGAAGTGGGTGGGGACGGCCACGTGGTTTTTCCCAATGACCTGGTACCGGACGTACATCTTCCCGTCGGTCTCCGTCCTGCGCCAGGAAAGAAAAAGAGGTTTTCAGGCGCTGTGGAAGTGGGATGCAAGAGGACTCGGGAGATCTGAGTTCAAGTCCCGGCTGAATCATGCAACTCACTCCCTGGGGATCCTTTGGGTCAGCCGTGCTTTCTCCGCTTGGCTGACCTCGGAGGGCTGTTGTGAGGATCAAGCCGGGGGGGGAGTTGGAGAGCCATAGTTATTTTGCATTTTAAAATAACTTTTAGGCCCACCTCCTCAGAGGCCTGGTTTATGGGGATGATGCAGAAAGGGAGTTTAAATGAATAAACAAATAAATAATCATCTTCATGGCCTTAAGCTCTAGGGAGGGTGAGACCCAGTGTTAAATCCCTTTTCTTCTAAATCCTAGCAGCTTAAGGTGACTTCCGAGGGCGGGGGGAAGCTTTTAAGTGATTTCCAAAAATAAACACACGTTACCTGGGAAGAAAAAGTGGCCCCGTGCAGACGTAGACGTTCTTGTTATATTTGGTCAAACTGCGGCAATATTTCTCCAAGTTATTCCAGGCGTTTTGATTCAGGTGGGGGTTCTGGAAGGAAAACAAGTTCTGCGTGGCTCAACGGAGAAACGATAAGAGAGGCAGAATAAATACGATGTATTTACCAGAATCGGCCACTGGAGGGAGCCAGAGAGCAGGTTAAAGTACCGCGTTGGCGCCTTCTGCGGTTTCCCGTATCCGCGGGGCCAGGTCCTACTGTGTATATAAAAAAAGCAAATCCCAGGTGTGTCCCACCGACCCACCCACCTCGCCCCCTTACCTGGGGGGCGATGTTGCTCAGGTAGAACGTGTCCCGCATGGCTTGCTGGCTGTCCTTGTGGTTGGCGGCGGCGGCCAGGTGGCCCCGGTCGAAGCCGCTGGCCCGGTAGTCCGCGTTGGTGGCCCGGTGGTACTCGTGGACCGAGTCGTCCTCGCGGAAGTCGCAGGCGGCCCGCTCGGAGGAGCCGCTCACCGTGGCCGCGTTGAGCTGCTCCACCACCCAGAGCGCGCTCCGGGCCCGAGGGTCGTAGCAGAGGACGTAGGAGGAGCGGGAGCGGAGCTGCGGGAAGCCCGGCAGGCCGTACTTGGCTAGCTCGCCCCCGACACCGGTCGCCACCGCGGGCAGGGAAGCGTCGGAGGAGGCGGCCGCCACCACCGGTACCACCGGCAGCCGGGCCAGAAGACCCTCCGCGGCTTCTGCCCCCGACTGGTCCGGCCGCCCCCCAGACCAGAGGGCCCCCAAGCCGAACCCCAGGGCCAGCGAGGCGGCCGATCCTAGCCACCGGCCCCGGCTCATAGCGGTCCACGGAGCGCGTAGAACGCTCGGGAAAAGGTGAATGGAATGGAACGTTGCGAACGTTCCATCCGCCCCTTGAAAAGGATACAATGTAACCTCGCTTTCCTTTCCCGGGCCGGCCGGCCTCTTAAAGGGGCCGTTACCAAATTTGGATTTCCCCCGTTAAAACAAAGGGAACTCCAGCGCGCAGGGGTCATCGCCCCCACACTTTTTTGGCATTCTCGGTGTCTCTTTTTTTTAAGGGATCTCTCCCACAAGCTCCGGTCACTTGACAGGACAGCCCCCCCCCGCGATCAGAGCAGACAAAATCTGAAAAAAATTCAAAACCCCATCCTCTGAATACTGGTTCGTGCCTCCCAAGGAGCGGCGCTGTCGGCCCGCTGTGGGTTCCCGCACTACAACTCCCAGAAACCTAAGCCGACAAAGCCCAGGAAAAGGAATTGTGGGAGATGAAGTCTGAGACCAGGAGGGACGGCCCACGTTAGGGGGAAAAAATCCATTTAAAAAGTTTGCTTGGGAGATGCTTTCTTGGCTGGCTTTTTCCCCTGGAATTGTCCTTTCTGAGTGGGTTTGCCCGCCGAGAAATCCCGCTTTTCTCACAACTCTGAAAAGGCACGGAAGCCCATGCTCCCCTTTTTACACGGGGCCACCCTTTGCCACTTTACGCCAGGGGTGAAGGGGCTGTGCCATCCAAACCTAAAAAGTCCCTCCCCAGTAGGCCTGCTGGCCCATTCCTTTGGTGTGTCTCTCAAAGAGAGCAAGGGATCTCAAGAATTTCTTTTATGAAAATCAGTTTCTCCCCACCCCACCCCTAAATCTGGCAGACACATCATAGAGACCAATCAGGCGTTACAAAGAATGCAGTTTATTTGGGGGTGAGAAAGAAAGCAAAGAGAGACACGTCCAGGAGAAAGCAAGAAATCCCCCCCCCCCAGGATTGCAAGGGTTCACAGACAGACTCAACGCCGCATGATGGGGCTGCCAGAGAGCATGCACACAGACCCGGGCCTAAGTAGCCAAAGAGAAACAGCCCCGATCCCCTTCCCGCGTAGAGGCGCCACCCTGTTCTTTACCTCGGATCTGTGACCCACCCCCACCCAACGTGGGCTCCCCGCCACAGAGTGGAAAAACCAGAAAGCCAGGCTCACGTTTAGGGTGATGCTTTGCCTCCCACCAAGTGGACCTTCCCCCCCAAAAAATGCCCTTTTTTGTATCCAAGCCCCAAGGTAGGTGACCAAGGCGGTATCTGTCAAACTCAGGGACGCTTACACCTTTTAGCTGAAGCTCCAAACGTATTTAATTCCGCGGAAGGAACTGGCAGCTTATTTGAGATAGGAGGGAGTTTTCTACGGAGAACAATCGTGCATCACAACATTTTCAGATATTCCGCTTGCAAAGCCCCTTGTCATTGGAACACCAGCCGGCTTTTGCAAGAAGCTCTGTGCCATCATCGGCCTCTGCATTTCTCCAGCCGTTATGCTCTGTTTCCCAAGGAGGAGGATGTCTGAGAGAGAGACATATACACACACCCACACCCCTGCTTCCGTGTCTCCACTTCACCTAGCCAGCCCAAAACACACCACTTTGGGCTCCCAAAGTGAGGGGAAGCGACCTCGCAGCGTCTTAATCGGGACCGCAACGTTCCCACGATCCGGGGACGCATCGCGCCTAGGCTGTGAATCTCCAGCAGGAGCGACCTTCCCACAGCTGGCAGAGTTTTGGAGAAATCAAACGGTTCGCTTAGAAAAAAAAAAAAACGGGAGGATCCAGGCAAGGTTTCGTCTCCTGTGTCTCGACATCTTGCGGATCACGCACGTTTTGCACTCTTATCGGCAGACATCTCTCCGCAGCAAGGGAAGGAAGAAGGCGCCCCCCCCTCTCCTCTAAGGCTGATAAGGTGATAAGGCTGGGTCAGCATCATTCACACCAGCTCCCCAGGACTAGCTGGGGCAGAAGAAATCTCCAGCAACTGAAAAACGGAGCAGGGGGGTTCAAATTCACACAAAAAGCGGCTGAAGCTGGACCGTTCCCTGGAGAAATTCAGTCTGGTGTTTGCCCTATTCCTTGGATGAAGGGAGTCAAGATCTCCCACCCGTGGTGTGGCCACGGGGAGAACCGTCTGTACACACGTGGTTCGTGTTCCTCCCAGATGTTTTCATCCAGGGGGCAAACCAACGCGCTCTCTCCTCATCCGATTAAACCTGTCCCAGGTAAATCCCAGAAGGTTTTGTACATTCAGATCTGCATCTTTAACGGCCGGCGTTGCCGTCCATTTCGTAACGATTGAGAAAGCTGAAGAGTTCAGAGTTCTACCTGTCTGGAGTTGGTTTTCTCTCCCCCCTCGCATGGACCAGATCGCTTCCATGTGGAGTCATTTCGCAGCAGACAGGATTCGAGAAAACGAGGGCGCCCGGCCCGACTCGAGGCCATAATCGCTCTCTCGCAGATATGTGAGAGTGGAAGAAGGCGTCGCCAGGTGAGAAAGGCCAGGCGCTCACCGAGTCTCTGGATATCGAGGCTCGCGGTCGTTACTTCGAATCTTGCAGTTCTTTCGCCTTCTTCAGAATCAGGTGAACATCCGAGATGGGGTAATCCTAGAGGAGGGAGAACAAAAATGGCAAATAGGTACGAGAGGCCTGGCTCCCGAGGGAAGGCAACGGGTTAAGCCACCTGTCCCTCTGTAAAGGGACGGAGGAGAGATGGGTTGGCCTTCAGCGGCATCGCCACCCTCCCAAAATGGGTCTGGCTGCCCCGTGGTTCTCATCCTCCAGCCCCAAACAGGGTCTAGGATTCCAGGGGCTGAAATCCAAAATCTCTGGACGATGGCTTGAGCTACGGATATTGTCCTATTTTATTTATTATTGCACAAAACGGTCAAAGACTCTTGTGGCGCTTTTAAGGCTAACTTTGGGGGGGGCACAAGCCTCTAGTCAGGTCCATGAGAACGAAGGTCAAATGAAACTCGTTTAGCCTTCAGGGCACGGTGGAGATTCCGAGCCATTTTCCCTGCAACAGATTAAGAAGGCTCGTAGCCCTCTCGCTCCATAAGACGCACCTTTCCATAAGACGCACCAATTTTTTAGGAGAAGAAAACAGGAAAATATAATCTGTTTTCTTTGCTCCATAAGACGCACAGACTTTCCACCCCCCTGTTTTGTGGGGGGAAAGTGCGTCTTATGGTGCGAAAAATACGGTATGCCTTTTCGCTATATAATTCCTGTCTGTTTCGGATGACTGTAGGACAGCAAAAGAAGGTCTACGTGGCGATGGTCTGGGGAGAATGAAAACAGGTTCAAGACGTATTGACATCTGAAATAATCCCAAAGGGGGCCCCCGCTTCCCCTGTGGGGTTTTGAATCTATGGCCTGCCACTATGTCGGCCCCACGTCCATCTTAGGCGGGCTGCTCCCGTTCCAAGATGCCCGTGGCCCTCGGCTTGCGCGGCCGGCGTTTACCTGCAGAAGCCGCATATTCAGAGTAAAGTCCCCTTCTAGTAACTGGTCCCGAATGAGCCTAGGGGGTTGCAAGGAAAGAAAAGGGACATTATTAAAATCGGAGAAGGTGTCAGGAAAATAAAAGGATCCCGTCAAAAGGACGGGAGCTCGCTGTCGGAAGAGGGCCACCAACACCAAGGGGTGAGAGCAATTCGCAGAGAATAAGGTTATCGTGATGCTGGTTGGAGAGCTCAGTGGTCAAGAGATCTGGCCAGAGAGCCAGAGGTTGGGAGTTTGAATCCAGCCCCGGGCCCCCCCCCAAGGAGAAGAGCCAGGCTGGGTGGCCTTGGGCAAGGGGCCACCCCCAGAAGAGAGGGGAAACCCCTTCTGAGTCCTCTCCACCTGGAAAACCTTGGAAAGTGTCACCCTACGTCAGCAGTGACTGGACTGCCCATGATGATGATGATGATTAAGGCTATCCTTAGCTACGACGCGATGGGATCTATCTGGGGGCTGTAGCCCAGGCCAGGCCGACAAGGGCCGCGCCGGAGAGCTCACGTCAACATGGCGCAGCAGACGAGCAGCAGGAAGTCGAAGCGGTTGTCGTCGGCGAAGAGGGAATCCCAGATGCGAATCACGTCCGGCAAGAGGAATTCCTGGGAGAGCAACAGGGTCAGCCAGCGGAAGGCGAAGAACTGGGGCCTGATGTTTTGCTCTTGCTGGTGGGAAGAGAAAAGACAGAAAAGCTGGTATCGTTCACGGCCGAAGAGCTGTAGAAAGGAAAGGAGAGCGCCGGGGGAGAGGGACAGTGCCGGCTCCATCTTTTTTCACGCCCGTGAGAGAGGGAGCAGCGAGACGAGTCAACGTATCTGCTTCCGGCATCAGTTCCTCGGCAATGTGCTGATTACTGTAATTTTTTCCCCATGTATAAGACAATACTTTTCTCTAAAATATTTAGATTACAAATTGAGGGGCGTCTTATACGTGGAAGTAAGGAGGGGAGGAAAGGGATCAAAGCGTTTTGACAGTTTCAGCCGAGACTCTACTTTGGGCTCAGCCTGGGTTGAATCTATAAGTCTTGTCATGGAAAAACTACGGTGGATAAAAAGAAGCATGTGGTCTTCGAGAGGAAATCATGTGAGAGGGGTGAAGATAGGAACGGTCGGCATTTATTCCTTAGATCCAAGTTCCTCATTCTCATGCCAATTTTTAAAAATTCATTTTTGGGGCTTAATAGCCATATTCTGAATATCTATCCCAAATCGGTGACTAGAAATACAGGGGAAGCTTTCAGAGACCGAAACTCCACTCGTTCTGATCCTGATCATCGCCATAAACTAAACCAGGAGGCAGCCATCATGGAACACGGGCGACATAAATGCTGAGTTCTGCATATTCTCACTGTACATGATGAATATATTTGTTTTACTTTGAGAAGGCAAATTCACTGAAAACTTTCTGTAGTTCTCTTTAGTTTCTTTAACAAAGAACTGTTCAGTTAATTCTCTGCAATTAATTCTCTAGACATTTAACCCGTGTTTTCGTTCAGCCACTATATACGACTCTAGAGGAAGTCTGTGGGTTTCGATCGGCAGCGCTTCCTTCCCCCTCAAATCTTATTAAGAGATATAAAGTGTACCATTCGCTGGACTTATTCTATGCAAAGCAGAAACAAACCTCTGAGTTGATTTAGACATTTACTGCCCGGCGGGAAGCATAAACAGACCTGTTGCCAACATCTGTAGCGTTTCAAAAAGGAAGGGAAACCCTTTGGAATGAAATACACTTGCGGCTGAAATTATACCACCAAAAGGAGAAGGAAACGGAGAGCAGAGATCCGTCACTGCTGTTTAAAACCTGGGCACATCGAAGTACTTTTCTTCTACAGGAGCACGCTATTTGTTTCAAAAGTCGTTTGCTTTCATGTACAGACCTGCCCAATGACAGCTATAAACAGCCAATAAGCAAGATTCCTGTACAGGAAGATGCTCCGATGAATTCCTGGGGACTCAGGATTAAAAAACCACAGCAGAAAAATTCCTCACCAGCTTCATGTAAAGTTCAACGTCTTTCTCTTTCAAGGTAGAATAGACCTTCTCCATTTTGTACGTGATGCCACACTGGGAGTCATCCAGGCTTTTGATGAAGTTGTCCCTGATCTCGGACATGAGGTTCGTGAAGCAGAAGAACGTATCCGCTTCGGCGTGTTCTGTTGGGGGGGGGGAAGAAAAAACCCCGTCAGCTTCGGGGGCGAGATTACGGAGCCGGAGAATGACAGCGCAGAAGAATCAGCTCCCCTTACCCTTCCATTCGCTGTTGGGGTCGGTAGCGAAGGTGTAGTACAGAGGCCCCACGATTTCGTTCATCCCTTGGACGTAGGCGATCCCCGGATTCAGCTTGGCGTAGATGAAGAGGATCCGCTCGACCACCTCCCAGTGAGCCTCACAGCCATTCGGGAGAAGTTCGTACTCGCTCAGGGAGTTGGGGGCCGGCGTCTTGAGAGGGGAGCTCACCTGGCGGACGAAGCAGAGGAAGGAAATGGTGTCTGAAACAGTTTCTGCTTATTATATCGGACAGCGGCGGCGGGAGGTGGGGGGGCATCGTTCCCCCCCTCGACACTCCCCAGTCTAACAGGCCCATTCACCACGCTCGCTACTCTTTGCTCCCCACGGACGCCTGTAACCCATGTCAGGTCTTACGTTAGTGACCCCGCTCCGGTTTCGGGCCACCGTTTGGGACTTGAGCGTCGTCTGCTCCACTCGCTTGCGCAGGGTCTCGAACTCGTTCTGCGGGTCGAGGATCAAGCGGCAGGGGTACTCGGTCGGGCGCTGGAAGAACGCCATGTCGGGATAGAGCCTCCTGGATGAGCAAGAGAGTTTGCTTTTTGTCAAACAACAGGGACCAGAAGCTTAACGGTCTGAGGAACCAGCTCAGAGTAAAATAAGCAGGGGTCCTGGAAACTGGTATTTTGAAGAGACGTCTCCTCATTAATGTTCCAGCCCCCGTTATATCCGTTGAGAACAAGCTTTCCCCTACCTGACATCCTTGTCTATCTGCAGCAGCACTTCGTTGTCCTTGAAGTATGTGTTCCACCGGCTGTCTGGATTCGGATTCAGCGGCTTCATGCAAGTATCACAAAAAGAAACCAGTGAGAACTAAGGCGACTGCAAGAAAGCGCTCAAAATTCATAATCTATTAACACACACACACTCTCACTCTCTCATACACACACCCCATACAGGTGTTCCCATGTCAAGCTAAAAAAAAATTAGCTATTAAGGCTGTAACACTGAGTTAATTACTCTGGAGTCGCTCAAGTCTTTCTTTCTTGGGAACACGGATTCTCAAAGGACGGGCTGTGGTCTCCACAGTGGAACAGAAAATGAGGAGTTTAGCCTTAAAATTCATGGTATACTTACGTGGTCCTCTAAGGTCACATCTTCTCTGGAGATGCCAAGGTTGGCTTTCGTGATCCCAGGCTGTATGATCATTTCTTTCAAGAACTGAGCGTACAGTTCTCTTCAAAAAGGCAGGACAAGGCAAGGAGGAGAGAAAAGATCGCGGCATATTAGGAAATGGATCGCATACAAAGCCATTTGGCCTCGTCGTAATTTAATCAACATCACAAACAGCTTTAATTGGGTGAGTCTATTCTATATCCCCCCCACACCCGACCGCTTCGGTTCTGGTGTGTGCTAACACGTTCATCTAATAAAGTTCCGCTTGGCCTCTAAGATTCATGATAAAACCATTCCGGATATTTTAACAGAAAAAAAATCAGGATAAAACATTTTGAATTGAAGTTGCTACAGAATTGATAATGCAGCACTTAAGAAGACACTCTGAAGTTGGAATCTATGAGGCTTCAACAGGAACAGCACGGATCAGGACCCCATACTCAAAGAAGAAAGGGAACAGAAAATAAATACATAAAAATTACCTTTGCTTCGTTAAGAGGGAGCTCCATAATGTTCTCTCCACTGGGAGGTAGTTCAAGAGGATCTGTATAAAGTGAAGAACATAAATATTAATAGCCCTATGGATAGTATTTTGAGAAATCCTTACGGTAATCAATTACATTCAGCTGCCCAGAAGCAAGTAGCCCAATGAAATAATCCTCAAGGATTCCGATTATAGACATTTGAGGAAAATATTTTCAAAAAAAAGGGCTTAGTTTTCTGGTCTAGAACCCTTGGGATGAGGACCGACTTCATCGTTTCAAACCACTCTGAAGCACTTTGTAGACGCTGTTCCGTTGATCATGTTCGCCCCTCTGTTTGGCCCAGAGGAAACACACAGCGAAATGCCCAGGAATGAAAACGGGACCCTTTTCCCCGAGAACCCACCTTCCAGCAGAGACAGCGCAAGCCACCTTCAAAAGGAATTCCTGAAGAAGAAAATGAAAACAGGACTGGTGAGGTTAAACCGGGCACATGTATATTGCTGGACAGCCAGCCACGTTAGTGGGGGGGGATGCAAATTTTCGTAAGGCAATCAGCCTTTAAAAAAGTTGTTCCATTACCTTATTTACTATTTTTCGCTCCATAAGACGCACCAATTTTTTAGGAGAAGAAAACAGGAAAATATAATCTGTTTTCTTCGCTCCATAAAACACAGATTTTCCACCCCCCTGTTTTGTGGGAAAAAAAGTGTGTCATGGTGCGAAAAATACATTAGTTTGTGTGTCCAAGCAGAAAATATATACAATATTTTTTTCTAGCTTTCTACTTAACAATGACATGCGTATATGTCATTGTTAAGTAGAAAGCTAGAGGAAAGCAAGGCTAAGGAAAGCGTAAAACGTCTGGCTACCCCCCTGTGACTACTACATTCACTGTTATTACAACTCAGTGCTCAAATCAAGACAAGCAAGAGTCATGACTTACTAGAAACTATGACAAGTGTTGTGGGTCTATGTCGTTTGATGTTATCTTTAGCTTTTCCCGACAGCAGCAGCTCAACGCAAGGGGCCCGCAAGAATCTGTCCTGTTAAATATTTCTAGAGGTGGTCACTCAGTGACAGCCTGGTTGGCCTTTGGCTAGTTTTAACACCGACCAAAAGTGAATTATGGAACCTCTCTCTCTCTCTTTCAAGAATCACCAGTTAATATCCCACAGAGCTGAGGAGGATAAAAATACTAAATAATCTGCCTCATTCAAGTACATTCCCGCTAATATGCGAAAGAGGCATTTTTACATTTTTTCCTCTGCAAACATTTTCCTCTTATCCATTTATCGGATGGATCTATCACCTCGTTTCTCAAATGCGGAACGGTTGATCTAGTTATATCTCCTAGTAGGTCACGAGGATGACTCGGAGTAGGTCAGGAAAAACAAAGCCACCAGCTACTACAAAGTAAGCTGGCAGAAATCCCTGATCTGTAATAACTCGGACGCCGCCTGCAGCTTATCTCACTACGAGGCCCATGTGGGGGAACAGCGGACAGCTAGCTTGACTCCCAAGCTACCGTTTTGCACCGAGGTCATAGGGAGACTTTAAAGATAAAAACAAAGCTGATCCCGCAAGATTCAGGCCTCCTCACACGGCGATTCTCGAACACACCTCCCGTTCACTAGCCAAGCCTCCACGCTTCCCTGTATTGTGACTTCGGCTGTCGGAACATCCTGAAACGTACCTAGTTTAGCCGTTTCTTGCAGGAAAAGATCGTCAGCAAAGGGTACACTTTGAGAAAAACAGCACCTCGTCCCGCAAGATATGGCATTTGCCTTCTACATAGCCCGAGGCAGCTGTAGCCACATCGCTATCTATACAGCCACCGGGTATGGCTAATGTGAGACAGATGGTTATCGGCAAACCCACTGACGCTTTTCAGAGAGTGGAACGCTGCTTTCTGTCCTAATCAAAGTCTCATTTCTTGCTATTCCGCCCCCCCTCCCCGGATACATTACTTGAAAGCTGGCAAGCTATGCATATACTCTAAGACGGAGCGCAGAAACCTGACCCACAAGAGAATTCCCCCCCCCCTCCAAGAGACTTACCGCTAAAGCAAAGTTCACGCAGCTTCTGCAGCGCAATATGGGGTTCGTTCAAGATGTCCTGGAAATCCGCAATCCTACAAGAAGGGGACACAAAGATGAGCACAGAAATAAACAATACATGCGTTAAAAAGGGGGGGAGATCGCAATGACTCCTGTCGGCCACGGACCGACAATCCAGCTACATGCTAACCTGTCAACAGCTGGATTATGACTCACTATTACTAGTGCATATTCGTGGTTGAAGCCAAAAGTGCGCCAGGTTTATTTCAGTTTATTGGGATACAGTTTAAGTGTCGGACGGTGGCTATAAGATTATTATTTTTCAAGGACATCCAAAACCTGGTCAAACTCACTGTAAACAGGCGGAGAAACAGACCGTTCTGATAAGAGCTTTTCCATGAACAAAGGCGGAGAAAGTACAGTATACAAAAACCACACAAACTGTCATGCGCACTAAGAACAGTAATAGCAAGCACTCTTAGGCACTGACAACCTTTTACACCTAATAAGGCAAGGTAAGGGATAGAACAGGGGGATGGGGGGGAAAACCCCTGCTACCCTCTTTTTGGGACGAAGCAGAATTTTAATTCTAACACATGGAACATTTCTCCTGCCCTGGCAACCATAAAGAGCTTCCACTGATGAGAAGCAGCAAATTTCTGATTACAGTGGTGCCCCGCATGACGATAATTTGTTCCATGAAAATCGCTATTTAGCAAAATCATCGTCATGCGAAATGCGATTCCCCAATTGGAATGCATTGAAACCCATTTAATGCGTTCCAATGGGGAAAATACCTCGTCGTCCAGCGAAGATCGCCCATAGGGAAGCCATTTTGCGAGAGCCGATCAGCTGTAGAAACGGCTGTCCTGCAAAGCATGGGTCCGGAAAACACAGGGCAGCCATTTCGCGAAGCCGACGATCAGCTGTAGAAATCGTCGTCTTGCGAACAAACGGTCTGCGAAGCACGGACCAAATCAATGTCCAGGAAAACTGCCCATTGAAATCACTGCTTTGCAAATCGCTATAGCGATCACAAAATGTCATCATTATGCGGATTTGTTGTTTAGCGGGGTCGTCGTCTAGCGAGGTACCACTGTAATGGGAGTCTGGGCAAACAGCTAGCTATAGGCCAGGGTTACTAATGTGTGCCTTTCCTGTCAAGCAGATGGGTTTCGGGTCTGATCCAGGATCCGAAACCCATCTCCCATACTGGTTCATTTCACTATTTTTAAAAAGCACCAGAATAACTGACTTTTTTTGGGACCAAGAAGCCGTTGGGCAACCAGAATAAGCTTTGTACGGCTTGACGTGGAAGTTCTTCCTCTCCTCATTCCACGCGTTGTGGTTACGCCGTTTACGAAGGAAATATACTTTTCATACATTCTTTATTTGTGCCGATTGCTGCATGGCCGTATAGGCGCCGGGGCTAATTCCCGAACGTGCAAAGATTCTCGTGGGCAACTGCCTTGAATTTTGTGCATAAAAAGATAAATATAAGAGACACACAGGGGTCTGCTTAAAAAAAAAACAACAGGGATTGTTAGTAAGGGAAGACAGATTCCTCCACAATAAACTTCCTTCCTAAATGCGGCATAAATTGGGTTGTTATTAAATAACCACATATACTAGATTAAAAATACAATTTCATTGCTGGTAACAATCACATAAGCATATATTACTATACCCCTGGAGATAACGATCTGTCTTGAATAAGAATCATCTTTATGGTAACACAGAAGGATGCGCTGTAGCCATAAACTCTCATTTTTCGTTGTTTTTAAAACAGGATTCTTTCTATTTGAATAGGACAGGAGTTAAACCTGCAATTCTTTTACGCCCCAGATATGGTTCTACGACAAAGTTTGGGCAATTCTGCAGTTTTGTGACAGCCTCTTTAAAAGGACCATAAATAATATGAAACAATTAAGTGTACTGATCCTTAAAAAAAAGGACTAAATATAATGCTTTAGGCTAGCAAACTCATCCTAATGTAGGAAGGGATCCAAGCTAGCTATAAGCCAAGATATAATAAAATAATCCTTTGTTAGTTAGTTTGTTTTAAAAGGTAAGGAGCAAAATGTGGGGAGAAAGGAAAATAAAGATCCAAGTGCATTTATAAAACAGTCTTTTTTTAAAAAAATATGGAATATAGGGAACAAACCAACAGGCAAGGAAGAGAGGAAGCTGCAGACAGGGGTGGGAGGAAGAAGAAAAGGCTCCCAATGTCACGAATTGAGAGCAGGATTAAGTATATTTTTTAATGCAAAATATTTTTAATTTTGCATTTAAAATATCAGGAAAATATAAACAGCCCAGCCAGGGAGGGACAGCCCGCGGCGGAGGTTTGCATGCACGCCAGACACCCTTCGGAAGAAAAGAAAAGGTGCATTATTTGTCTTCAAAGATATAAAAAATGTTTATATAAAAATATAAAAAAGATATAAAAAAAGGATTTATCCTTTTGCAAAGATATCAACACCAGTTCATGGAAGGCACCCCCCCTTCAAGAAAACAAAAGAGAAATAACAACTTGTTCTCGTGCAAAGAGATTTAAAAAAAAAACACATTGCATTCACGGAAGAAGAAGGAAAATAATGATTAGTGTGCAAGGATATAAATATCAATCGATTAATGCAAGTCTCTCCCCCCCTCCCCCAAGAAAATTAAGGAAAATAATTTACGTACTTCTTCTTGTGCAAAGATATTAACACGTAATAAACAGAAAACTCCCCCCCATAGGCATAGGGATAAAAGGGGGGGGAGAAAACCCAGTTTCCTTCCAGAATCCTACTTGGGGGGGGGGGTCTCCTTTATTTAATTAATTAATTTATCTATA